ACAATCTGCACATTTTAAGACTTTAAATTTAAGTCCAGATAAACAGAATACCATTCTGTATTCGAGGAGCGTAACAGACGCTGTGGCTTGAATCAAATTCAGACCTGTGCCTTTTTTAATATTTTAATTTGTTCTCTAGCTATTTAAATTTAAAGGTTACAACTCCAATTTAGCAGTCATTATAAAAGAGCAATTTATTGTTTTTGTTTGTTTCACTTGTTTAGACACACAAATCCTTGATCGCCTTGGCAAAATTACTAAATGATGACATTTGTATAGTCTTAAAAAACAAAGAGAAAACATCAAATTGACATTTTGTAGTTATAAGTAAGTGAAGATTGAAGCAGTTTTCATTCCTTTGGATACATAAAGTTTGAATCTGGGCTCCAGATTAGGAGCCACTGATAGGAGACACCTCAAGGCATGAACGTTTGTTTTATTCCAGGGTCTGGTGGTCCCCTTTGCTTTTGAAATGTGCACTGTCCTCTTGTCGAGATCACGGAAGCTCTCAAAGGCCTTCAAGAAATAAAGACCAAATAGCAGAGAAAAATGACATTTTGAATCAATAGAAGGCTTCGAGAATAACCTTGTCTCCTAATAATTACACACAGTTTCAACTAAACTACAACTTTTGAGTTAGCACAAGTGTGGCTTTCTATGGTAGTTATGTGTGATACAGTATAGAGACAGGCCTTGTTCCTTATTGACATTGTCCCCTCGTTTTATTTCTAATTTAGACTTTCCAGTTTTGTTGCTGTTAGCTTTAACAAAGCTAAAATATGCTGGCCTTAAAAGCTTCACCACAATTTCTTGGATTCAGGCTGCTGGAAGTGAGGGAATAAGTGGCAAAAATATTGAAGGTGTGCTAGTAGACGGTGTTTTAAACATTTAAATAAAACTACAGGTCTCCTTTAATAATATATCCCCAAAGCAGCACTTTGGGAATACCACATGCTAGTGGAAGAAGTGTTTGCCGTGTGCTGTCTTGTCTGTGCGCAGTATTGGTAGACTACTGTACACTAAACATTACCTACATATTCTTTGTAAAGGCGATACATATTCAAACACAAACATTTTTTGTTATTTGTTGAATTTCTGATCGGTCCCTCCAAAGATGTTTCAGAACCTCGTAGGATCAGTCAGGAAAAAAGGCATTAAAAAAAACCTAACATCACAAAAGTAAGAATTTTTCTTCCTGCTTCCCATCTGTTTGTGTTTTATTTTGGTTTTTATAACGTTCAGCTTTGGAATTGGGAAATTTTGACAAGTATATAACAAATTCATGACTAGTGCGTTGAAGGAAAACTAGCTCGCTGCACTATTTAGACACTCTGTGTTTCCGTCTCATACTTCCATTGTTACTGATGTCACAGTCGCCCTGGCAAGTGATGCAACAAATATGTCCTCCATGGCAAGTATTTGTAATAGAAGGTATTTGTTGCTATAACCTTCAAATGTATCCCTTAAATATGATTTCATCCGCAGATTTTTTTTTCTTTTTACACTGAATCAGACTATGCTTCGTTATTAATTTCTACTTTAAGATAAGTGTTAGATATATCTCCAAACATCTAATTTAATAGGACAATGCCCATATCCACTAACATGGAAACAGGAAAATCATTATGTTTAAAATTGCATACCAGACAATGCATGATAGACAACGTGAGGTGTGAGCATTATATCCTATATTGGATTTGTTTAATATCTCATCATCTGAACTATCTGTAAAGGTATAAATAACTATGATAAAAGAACAGGAAATCCTGCTTTCAGTCCTGGATAAAGCTTTGTCGTTCAGCCACCGTAATACTCTGAATATTAGGCACTGACCCACATCTGCCATCATGCAGGTTACATAGAGCCCCAGATGCAGGCCCAGCTGTTGCCATGTATTATCACACTGACTGACCCTGATGTTTTAAGTTAAATGCAAGACAAAACATTAGCATACGCTAATCCAACCATACCATGGCATGTAAGTTAACGTTAAAACAATGCATTATTATTAATAATAATAATAATAATAATAATAATAATAATAATAATAATAATACTAAGCCTCTCCCACCCCCTAAGTCAGAGTAATGTCAACCTTGCCCCCATTCTCTAACTAGTTTTACCTTCAGAGTACCACAGCTCTTCCATATGTAGGTAAGAATAATGACTCCTCAGTCATTATTATTAATTCAGTGTTGCTACAGTGTGGTGCATGTAAATGAAGCAGTGGGCAGAGAGAGCTATAGGCTGCCTGGAGAGTTAGCCTGAGTAATGAATGTAATTATTGTGCCCTATTGGACCCGTGTCTGTTTTAGCAAAGTTATTATTTTGACAGTTTGCGCCACATTCATAAGGAAAGGTCTGGAATTAAATTATAAGCTTCCTTTACTTTTGCATCTAAATGTATTATTTGTCAGAGTAATCTCTCTGTATAATTTATGTGTATGTCTGTGTGTGTGTGTGTGTGTGTGTGTGTGTGTGTGTGTGTGTGTGTGTGTGTGTGTGTGTGTGTGTGTGTGTGT